TTGTGAGCCACCATGTGGTTGCTGGGAATTGAACTCAGGACCTCTGGAAGAGCAGTCGGGGGTGCTCTTAACCACTGAGCCATCTCTCCAGCCCAAGAGGTTTTGTTCAAACCTATATAGTGAGTCAGGGGTAGAGTTGAGGTAAGACTCCTTAGTTGAATATTCTTTCTAGATAGTCTCATCTGCATCTGCCATGTGTCTTCACTTATAGGTGTGTGAGTGTGTGAGTGTGTGTGTGTGTGTGTGTGTGTGTGTGTGTGTGTGTGTGCATACAATCTATTATTCATATATAAAAACATATCTAGCTGGGTGGTGGCCCACACCTATAATCTCAGTACTTAGGAGGCAGAGGCAAGTGAATCTCTGAGTTTGAGGCCATCCTGGTCTACAGAGTGAGTTCCAGGTCAGCCAGGGCTATACAGAAAAGCCTTGTCTTGAAAAAAACAAAACCAACAAAACAAAACAAAAACAGATCTAACAGCCACGTGTTCACTGGACTTTTTTTTTTTTTTTTTTTTAACCTTAAGGTAGGTGTGTGTGTGTGTGTGTGTGTGTGTGTGTGTGTGTGTGTTTGAACTTCATTCTGTGATGGCAGGACTCTACCTTCTTTATCCTCTGAGGAATTCCTTCATGCCTATGAGTGTACTATTCCTCAGTGAATAACAAGACGGTGACACAGAGTGGAAGAACATTAGGACAGACACTCATCTATACTCCTTAAGAGCATGTCTTTATACAACTAAGGTTACTGTTAGGGCTGGAAATCAGACATTCTTATGGTGGAGTCAAAGCCCTTGGAGTGGCACAGCTGCCAGGTACAGTGGACAATAGGATGTTAAGATGCCTAGAATGTTAAGGGCCTAAGGAAGCGTTGGGCTCCACCACATACTTTGAAGTCCTTTATAAGAACTGCTGCCACTTTGCCTTAGTTCTGTTCCTTTTTATCATTTTTTGGCCTAACCCCCTGACATTTATTAGCCAGTCATTTTCACACATGAACACTGTAATAATGAGACTGGATTCAAGCCATACCCCAGGCTGGACCTCCTGAAGCATCCTCTCTCTACTAGTTCAGCCAACATTCCTTTTGAAAGAGTCAGGCCTGGTCTGCCTATGTCTGAAGCAATGCAGTCTCCAGAATGCATTCACAGGCTTCTAAAATAAGACATTCAAACAATGTGACAAGGCCCCAAATGTCAGCTCATACCTTACTGCCTTCCTAGTGTCTGCTGCGCCTTGGTGGCTCTGTCACTGAGAACTCACCCTGTGGGATAGCCTTGATCCCAGGAGACTGGCTGATTTCAGTGCCTCCTAATCCACAGGGTGAGTTCACATCAGCTCTCTGCATACACCTAGATGAGAACTGTGTACTCCTCAGAATGGGTGATCAGCCACAAATCTAGAATGCTCTTCTACTCCCATCCTAAGTACTGGAGGTGCCTGCTGGCCCCTGCTCTTTACCTGGTAGGCAATAAAAACATGACACATGTTGCCTGTTCTGCAGAGCTTATCAGAAAGAAAAGATGTTGAGAAGCCTGCCTGTTGTTGGTTGTATTTACTCTTTGGCTCCTTTGAGGACCCGCCACCCAGCTCCCAAATAAATAACATGGAGACTTATTATTACTTATCTCTAGCCAGCTTTTCTTAAATTAACCCACCTGTCTTTTGCCTCTGAGCTTTTTCCTTTTCTTACTTCCAAATATCTTATTTTCACTCTTACTCTGTGGCTGGCCCCTGGTATCCTCTCTCCTTCTTTTCTTGTTCCTTGCTCTTTAATTTCTTCTTCTATTTATTCTCTCTGTTTGCCAGGCCGGCCTATCCTTTCTCTACCCAGCTATCTCCCCTTTAGCTCTTTATTAGAGCACGAGGTGTTTTAGGCAGGCACAGTAACACAGCTTCACAGAGTTAAACAAATGCAACATAAAAAAATGCAACACATCTTTGCAGCATTGAACAAATGTTCCACAGCATAAACAAATGTAATACATCTTAAAATAATATTGTCTATTCCTATTGCAATGACCAAGCATTGGCTAAGGTGTGTTATTCCAAACCTGCAAAGTCCATGTGTTATAATTTCCTTTTCAAAAATTACTACTTATAATCCAGGCGTTGGTGTCGCATGCCTTTAATCTCAGCACTCTGGAGGCAGAGGAAGGAGGATCTCTGTGAGTTTGAGACCAGCCTGGTCTACAAGAGTTAGCTCCAGGACAGCCTCCAAAGCCACAAAGAAATCTTGTTTTGAAAAACAAAACAAAACAAACAAAAAAAAACACTACTTATATTTCATTATAAATTGGTATTCAGAATTTTAAAACTCAAGAACAAAAGAATAACAATTACAGCCGGGCGTTGGTGGTGCACGCCTTTAATCCCAGCACTCGGGAGGCAGAAGCAGGCAGATCTCTGTGAGTTCGAGACCACCCTGGTCTACTAGAGCTATTTCCAGGTCAGCCTCCAAAGCCACAGAGAAACCCTGTCTCGAAAAACCAAGAAAGAAAGAGAAAGAAAGAAAGAAAGAAAGAATAATAATTACAACCAGGAATGGTGGTACACACCTTTAAACCCAACACTTAGGCAGCTCTCTCTAAGTTCAAGCTAGTCTGGTCTACAGAGAGAGTTCCAGGATAGCCAGAGTTACACGAAGAAACCCTGCCTTGAAAAAAATAAAATAAGCAAAATCAAAAAGAGTAATCATCATGGTTTGTCAGATACTTAAACGGGAAAGACCAGGGCATTAGAAATACCAAGGATGCCCAATTCTTGGATTTATAATCAAAACAAACTGGAAAAATAAATATGGAAATATGATAACCTCTTCATCTGGGACCTGCTGAAGATCTGCAAATGGTTAAGGTGACTTAATGACAAAATTCCATGTGAATTCTAACAATATACTGAGGTTATTTGCTAGTTGAAGAGTTTACCTATTATGTAAGTGTAATAGATCAAATACAAAGCTATGGGGTCCTCCAGGCACAGGGGGTCCACCCTCTCTGACCTTTGGGGGCACTGCATTCACACATTGCTCATACATACATGCAGGCAAAACACTCATGCACATAAAACTTTTTTTTTTTTTTTTTTTTTTTTTTTTTTTTTTTGGTTTTTCGAGACAGGGTTTCTCTGTTTAGCTTTGGAGCCTATCCTGGCACTCGCTCTGGAGACCAGGCTGGCCTCGAACTCACAGAGGGCCGCCTGCCTCTGCCTCCCAAGTGCTGGGATTAAAGGCATGCGCCACCAACGCCCAGCTAAAACTTATTTTTTTTTTTTTATTAGCAGTGGAGCATAGAAGATAATAAAGGCTGAGACATAGCTCCGTGGTAGAATGTTTACCTAGTAAGCCAAGATTCAATTCTTGGAACTTCTAAGAAATCAAACAAACAACAACAACAAAAATCATACAAATACATGCACATAAACACAGAAAACCAACCAGGGGCTGGAGGAGTGGGGAGGATGCTAGTAGCATAGCACTTGCCTAAATATTCAAGGTCCCAGGTTCAGTTCAGAGTACTGAAGAGCACGAACACACACACACACACACACACACACACACACACACACACACACACAC